TATAGGTTAAAAAAATATGTTAATCATTGTTTATACCTGTATAAGAACGATTTTTTGTAGTATGAATCAGTCAACCAAATGGTTCACCCTTGTTTTACTTTCAGTGTTGACATTCTTTTCCTTTTAATAGCTAAGGGGTTCAATTGAAGGTCACATATAAATAAGAAGATGTGGTATGATGAGCGCCAATGAGACAACTCTTCATCCAAGTCACAATGTGTAAAAAGTAAACAATTATAGGTCAACATGAATACATTTCAATGAGCGATGTTTTTGAGCTTATTTTGACAAATTTGGACCAAACTGACTGCTTATTATGAAATATTTATATTTCTGCTTTTATGAATACTTAAAACAAAAAGAATCGTATTTTAAATTTTTGTCTAAATTGTAGATAATGCCCATTTAAGATATCGGCAGGTCAAAACTTTCTCAACTGTTATAAACATTGTTTAGAAACTATTTGAGACACTTAAGAAATTTGTGTTGACTGGTTTGAAGTTGCTAGCAGTAACTGTAAGTAGAGTTGATATTTTATGTCTCTGGTTTTTGTCCCCTGCTCGACGCATTGCGGGGGACATAGAAATACTGGGCGTCCGTCCGTCAGGTCTTGTTAGCACTCTCACATGTACAATTATTGCCTTTTTTTTTTTATAAAACTTATATCATATGTTTATATCAGCAATGTCTCGGACAATTCAGTGCCAATCAACTATTTTTAGGCAGTTAAGCTGCCTTATGCGAGCACCCTAGATTTGTGTTCTACCCAATAAATGCTGAAATACGTGCCATTGTTATTATCTAGCTGGCTATTATGTTATTTATAACTAATTGAACACTTTTTTCATACTTTTAATTCTGGATTACAAAAAATATGACCAGAAAAACCTTAAATGATCGTCGAACCACCCAAAAGTTTTGAAGTTGCACATATGAAGTAGTGCTCATTAGGAATCCTTATGTAGTTTATTATCCCCTGTGCTTTTGGCTAAGATGTCAAAGAACAATTGTATGAAATATTTAATCGCCAAAAATCTCTAAAGACAAGTAGTTTAGATTTCCCAAATGGCAAAAGTCGTAGGAATATTGTTTGTCATCAATACGTAGTACAACTACGTCAGTAGTCTATTAATAAGTTCAACTGTTGGCGGCAATTTCAAATAATTTAGAAGACGAAATTTTCGTATCTTTTAAATTTTAGGATTCTGATGATAGAAAGGTCATTATTGTTAATCATAATATTCCTTTTGTTTGAGATGAGTGTTGATAAATTGTGTATTCACATTTGAATTTCATTCTTTTAAATTACTCCGTTTTTCACATAAATGACCTTGTCAAGTAATGCACCAACATTCGATGTTTACACTTGTTATTAAGAATGAAAAAGATCCGGATCAAATCGACGTTCGACGTTGATGGGATGTTTTAATAAATGGGGACAACTCGTCCCCGAGACAAGTCGGACCGTCTTAGAAGACAACACGGACCGCTTGTCAGATTTACTTAGGGTTTCATAAAATGTTAGACTAACATGTCTAGCGGAGCCATCAATCTTTCGTTTGTGCATTGGGATCTATTTGGGGGTATTTTAAGGGGCCTAAAGAAGGGAGGGGTTTACTGTAGAACCCAATGTTTTTTTTGGTTTTTTTTAATTTGCAAATGACTATTATTTCGAAAACAGTAAGTGATAGACACACATGGTCTTTAGTAATGAGAACAGGACAATAAAACAAATCAATTAAAATATAGGATGAGTCCCTGGGGGTCATCCCAACCCCCTTCAATTTGAAAATGTGCTTTTTTCTAGTAAACGGTCGATATCCCCGCCCCTAAACCATATATATTCATGCATGGGACAATATAACAAATCAAATGAATTATAGGGGGAGTCCCTGTAGTCAACCCCCCCCCTTTTCCCCATGTTTGAGAACTTGGAAACAGACGAGATCCCCACCCCTAAACCATATTTATTCATGTATGGGACAATATAACTAATCAAATGAAATATAGGGGGAGTCTCTGGGGTCACCCAACCCCCTTCTGTTAGGGAACTTTGAAGCAGTCGAGATCCCCACCCCTTAATCATATATATTCATGTATGGGACAATATAACAAATCATATGAACTATAGGTGGAGTCCTTGGGGCCTTTCTACCCCCTCCTGTTTGATAACTTGGAAATGGATGAGATCCCCACCCCTAAACCATATATATTCATGTACGGGACTATATAACTAATCAAATGAAATATAGGGGAGTCCCTGGGGTCACTCCACCCCCTTCTATTAGAGAACTTGGAAACAGTCGAGATCCTCACCCATAAACCATATATATTCATGAATTGTACAATATAACAAATCAAATGAAATGTAGGGGAAGTCCTTGCGGTCCCCCCTGTTTGAGAACTTGGAAACGGTCAAGATCCCCATCCCTAAACCATATACTCATATACTCATGTATGGGACTATATAACAAATCAAATGCAATATAGGGGGAGTCCCTGTGGTCACCCCACCCCTCCTGTTTATGAACTTGGAAACAGTCGAGATCCCCACCCCTAAACCATATAAATTCATGTATGGGACAATATAACTAATCAAATGAAATAAAGGGGGAGTCCATGGGGTCACCCTACCCCCTCCTGTTTGATAACTTGGAATCGGATGAGTTCCCAACCCCTAAACCATATATATTCATGTATTGTACAATATAACAAATCAAATGAAATATAGGGGGAGTCCTTGGGGTCAACCCCCCCCCCCCCCCCCCCCCCCCCATGTTTGAGAACTTGGAAACGGTCGAGATCCCTACCCCTAAACCATATATACTCATGTATGGGACTATATAACAAATCAAATAAAATATAGTGGAAGTCCCTGGGGTCACCCCACCCCCTCCTGTTTGAGAATTTGAAACGGTCGAGATCCCCACCCCTAAACCATATATATTCATGTATGGGACAATATAAAAAATCAAATGAAATATAGGGGTAGTCCCTAGGGTCACCCCACCCCCTCCTGTGTGTGTTTGAGAACTTGTAAACGGTTGAGATACCAACTCCTAAACCATATTTATTCTTGTTCGTCATTTCAAAATGATTTGAATGACATACAAGGTCAATCTCCGATGTGTCACATATGCATATCACTTTACTAGACCTAACCAATGTGTACTAGACTTTGCCCAATGTCAGGCGACCATGGGAAGGAATAATTATGGGTGCTTTGTTTGGGAGACTTTGTAACAGCACCCTGTTACAATTATTTCTTGTTTATCATAAAATTTTATTGATGCAAAAAATGAGTAGGTTTAAAGAATTTACCTAATTATATTTTGAATTATTTCTGGTCCTTTAAAAATATTACATTTATGGCTCATTTTAAAGAAAACATATATAAATCTTTCAAGCCCAAGAATGTTTGACCAACTGTTTTATAATCACCTGTCATTTTATTCCAAACTTAGACATCATGGACTTGGGGTGAAGGTGGGAGTCATTTACATTTACTATGGGCAGGTCAGTCAGACCTCACCTTTGATCCCTGTAGTAGTAAACATTTGTCTGATTTGTGTCTCATAACTTTTGTACTGTAGAACACAAACTCAGTTTTCTTTCCAGGGAAGCAAGTCCATTCATACTATAACAAGCTCGTACTAAGTCAACTTGTACTACTAACAGTCAACTATTACCAATGTTAACTACCAACTAGAACAACTGCAATCTTTGCGAACTTGTACCACTGCAGACTCACCATTAAAAATATACATTGATATATGCGTTTAAAAACCTTGATAAAATATAAATTATTTGCCTTAATAATTAATTCATTAAATAAACATAAATGTACAATATATGAATGTTTAATGTTTGTTCTTTTAAATCTTTAAAAAAAAATTGAAGCAACATTGCCACAGTTTTCATAATTACGTTTGCCTTGGTTTTTGGTTAACTGCCTACAGCGCTTACAGTGCTTTGATTATAAGAGTTATGCCTGTTGGAAATTTTAATTATATGGAAAATTGCATTGTTAGCACTCTCATATGTACAATTCTTGCCAGATATTTATCAAATTTATATCAAAGGTTTATATCAGTAATGTCTCGAATATGTTGGAAAATCAGTGCAGGTCTAATATTTTTTAAAAAGTTATGCCCCTTGGAAATATTGATTATATGGATAATTGCATTGTACAAATGTAAATACTCCCATGTGTAAATTTTTGCCAGATTTTTTTATCAAATTTATATCAAAGGTTTATATAAGCAATGTCTCTGACGAGTTGGAAAATCAGTGCTGATCAAATATTTTTAAAGGAGTTATATGCCCCTTGGAAATATTAATAATATTGGATATTTCATTGTATTTGCTCTCAAGCCTTCATTTCTCTAAGATATTTGTAAACAGTTTTAAAGAACAAAAAAAAAGGTTTTTAGTTATTGCTTTTGGATAGATAAAATACGTGCAATGCAGGGGACATTGGGACTCTGTTTTTTTATTGTTTTGTGCTTAGCATCAATCCGATGAGTCAATAACTTTCCAACTGAATTAAGCTGTGATCCTTATGTTGTGTTGTTACACCACTGTCCCAGGTAAGGGGAGGGTTGAGCACTCACAGACATTATCAAACCACACCATATTAATAGTATGTGCCTGTCCCAAGCCAGGAGTCTGTTATCCAGTGGTGCCGTTTGTTTGCTGTCTGCCTTAATTTTCTTATTCTTTGTGGTATTATAAATCAGGCAATTGTTTTTCTCATTTCACATTTGGTCATATCTAGGGCTACTATACATTGTAGCTTACTGTATTATAAGGTATGGACTTTGCTCAATATTGAAGGCTATATGGTTACCTGTAGTTGCTCACATTTTTGCAATTGTCCTTTGGTCTTTAAGAGATACATGTGTGTAGTTGTCACATTGGCAATGATAAAACATCTTCTTATTTTAAATAAAGCTATACACAGTGTATATACTGATTATTTATTTATATTGTGTTAATAGTGTACATACATTGAGATAGACCAAGTACCAAAGACAAATGCTGTAATTCTGAGTAAACCAGCCTGGATGTGGGGGGCAGAGATGGGAGCCAATCAACATGGGGTCTGTATTGGAAATGAAGCAGTGTGGACTAAGTTAAATAGTGATGATGATTTGACAGAGAGACTTCTCGGGATGGATATAGTAAGGTATGTCTGACAATTATTCAGATGATCAGATTGTTTGGGGGGGAGGGGGGGGGGGGGGGGTCATAAAAGTTTTTGTAATTGTCCCCCACACAACGTGTTGCGGGGGACATAGAAATACCGGGAGTCGGTCCATCCATGCTTCTGTCTGTCCGGTCTTGTTATCACTCTCACATGTACAATTCTTGCCAGATTTTAAATAAACTTATATCATAGGTTTATATCAGCAATGTCTTGGACGAGTTCAAAAACCAGTGCTGATCAATTATTTTTAAAAGAGTTACAGTTGTATGTCCCTTGCAAACATTAATTATATTGAAAATTGCATGGTAAGCGCTCTCATGTGTACACTTCTAGCCAGATTTTTATTAAATTTATATCATAGGTTAATATTAGTAATGTCTTAGACCCGTTCAAAAACCAGTTCTGAACAATTATTTTTATAACAGTTATGCCCCTTGGAAACTTTAATTATATGGAAAATTGCATTGTTAGTGCTCTCATGTGTATAATTCTTGCCAGAACTCAGCAATGTCTTTGACGAGTTAGAAAATCAGTGCCGATCAATTATTTTTTAAAAGAGTTATGCCCCTTGGAAATATTAATTATATGGAGAATTGCATTGTTAGCGCTCTCATGTGTACAATTCTTGCCAGAATTTTAAGAAACTTATATCATAGGTTTATATCAGCAATGTCTTTGACACTTTCATAAATGAATGCTGATAAAATAACGAGTTATGCTCCTTGGAAATATTAATTATAATGGAAAGCGCACTGCATTTGCTCTGAAGCCTTCATTTCTCTAAGATATTTATAAAAAGTTTTAAAGAACCAAAAAAAAGTGTTTTATTTAGTTATTGCCCTTGTATCTTGGATAGATAAAATATGTGCAACGCGGGGGACATTAGAACTGTGTTTTTTTATTAGTCCCCTATTGACGAAGTCGAAGGGGACTTTAGGTTTGCACTCCATCCGTCTGTCTGTCTGACTGTCCGTCTGTCCATCCGTCAGTCCGGCAAATCAGTTTTCCACACTTATTTTCCTCATGCTTGAAGATATTGATTTGAAAATTGGTATATAGTTTTATCATGACAAGTTACAGATCAAGTTCAAATTTTGTTCCGGTCTGATGATTTTGTGCAGAGTTATGGTCCTTGGACTTAGAAAATTCACTCAAAGAAACAAAAAAATTTTCATCATGCTTGAAGATATTGACTTAATATTTGTTATATAGCTTACACCATGACAAGTTATAGATCAAGTTAGCATTTTGTTCCAGTACAATGAATTTTTAACCGGTAGGGGACTATGTATTGCCAGGCAATACTCACAGAATGCTTGTTTTCTTTTTTTATTTTAGCAGATTCATTATCTCATGGTCATTTGAATAATAAGTGAAAAGCTTTCTTTTAGCTGGTAAGTTTGGCAAAGAATACAATTTTTAGCCATACAATAATCTAGAAGGAACTTTTAAATACTTATTTGGTATTGCTATTTAGCAATTTTTTTAATAAGACAATTGCTGTCAATGGCTAAATATGCAGGTAAAATAATATTTAAGCTTATGTGGCCTAGACTTGAACTATTGCCATCACTTAGTGTCTGTCTTCTTAGTCTGTTTACATTGGCCTAATCTATCATCAATAAACTTTTCACATTTCATTCTTTTTTTCTGAAACCACATGTCGAATTCCAATTAAACTTAGCAGAACTGATCATTGATGTATGGAAAGTCTTGTATAAACTATCCTCTGATAAGATTGAAAATAAGTCTGGCAGCGGCAATCTTTGATATCTGAAACTACAAGATGAAATGTTTTGAAACTTTACAGGATTGATGATAAGGAGTCATTCTACAAACCTCCTGGTTAAATGCTAATTGTGTGGTAAAAACAGTAGTATTGGTGGCACAAATACCCTTTTAACTCTTAGGGAATTACACACATTTAACTTTCTCAAACATCATATCCATCAAGATCAAATTCATTCAAATTTATCAGGAATGATGATTGAAAGGTTTTCTACAAAGGATCTTCATAGTGTTCCTATGAGATGAAAATGTGGCCGCCATATGCATTCTTTGATTCTAATAGAAAATGTATAAAAGGTTGTAAGCCATAAGATTGCATCACAATTTGAGTTCCCTCCTTTTTCTGTTTCAAGGATAGTGCCAAATTTTGCAAAATCTTTGTTTTTTGTAAAAAAAATAACAAAATTTCTGAACTCTTTGTAAATAGATTGTAAACCATACACTATTATATTTTGTCAAAGTTGCACCTCCAAACTGTTTTGAGTTCAATATTTAGGGCTATTGAAATTTTGAAAATTAGTCTAGTATCATTTAAAGTCCAATTTATGCTTTTGATATCTCATTTACAATATAAGTCTCTTTTTATACTGGCATTATTTATTTTCAAACAAAGTAATTCAGGTGAGCGTTTAATGCTTCTTGGAGTTTCTGCCTCACTTGTAGTTTCGCTTTTAAAATATATAATCCTGGAAGTCTGTGTCCAAGTTATGCTAACAATGATTTGACAACACTCCATTTTACTTTCTGTTTTAAGGACAATGATTTGACAACACTCCATTTTATTTCCGTTTAAGGGCATCCAATACAGTTTCAAGGGAGTTAACTCTTGGCGTGACGTTGAGCGTTCAAATTTCCCTTAAAACCCTTCTTGAACGATATTTAGTATAAACGATGCTCCAATTTATGTTATCCACACATGTCAACTTCTACGCCCTCAAGAATAATGCAAATTATTCTCACATTTTGGGTATCTATACATAGGACAAAAGTCATGATATCATAAGAAATCAAACGCATAGTGTTGTTTCTGCTGTTCCTTACCTTGAAGCTTCTGTACGGTCTTGAAGTCAATGAAGTATCATAAAGTGAGCAATCTCAATACGACTGACCCCTTTGGTGTTTACATAATACTAGCCAATTACAATTTTTATTTTCATTCATCCCTGATTTAATTTTGATTTGGATATGATTTTCTGACCATGCTGACAGCACACAAAACAATAGTCGTACAGCTCATTTAAGTTACAAACATACATCAAAATCAATTTCTGTCAATGATCAATTTTGGTAGATGTTGGAATAAAACAGACACAAAAACTAAAACCAAAGTTATGGGGGAAGTATAGTTAACATGTCTTGTCTTTCAGATAGAAATTCAATCATTTTTGCTAGATAAAAAATTATGAAATATTTTAAAATCATTGTAAAGTTTTCTTCAACCTGTTATCACTCAACCTGTTATCATTAAAGCGAGTACACAGTAACGTACTCAGTAACAGCATGTCTAGCTCTAAATTGTCACAAGTCTTTAAATTAAGCCTAAAGAAATTCAAAAGTCTGCAATAACCACACCTGAGATGTTTCTCACTTAGAACATGAACCATGAACCTATTGAAAGGAGGGGGGTGATCAACTTTAAGTTTTCTTTTAGGTCTACACAGTATTTTACAGGAGGATTCATAGAATCATTCACAATTATAATTTTTACAAGTAACTGCAAATATCAGGAAATTCATCTTTTAATTCTCTCAAAAAAAGATAACTGTTTAATAAATAGATATATATATTCCTTGAAAGTCTACATGTACTTTCTCTTGTTTGATAAAACTTTTACTTCGTCATTGTGGTTTCCTGTTTTATATAATAAACAATACTATACAACACGACCTTATAAAACAAATAGTCATTTGAAGCAGTGTAATTATAATAAAATGCTTGAATCATCAGGAAATTGACACACCTTATTATTATCATGATAATAATAAGGCGTCTCAATTGTTGATATTGTCTTGCCTGTCACAGAATACGAGACAGGGATGTTAATCTAAGGGATGCATGGCGACATCTTTGTATAAAGCTTCATTTTTCAGAAGGTAGAACAGCTGAATAATCTTTATCTAGTATATAATGATGTGAGGTTACTGTCTGGCATATGCCAGCTGTTTTCCTTGACATAATATTCATGGTTCAATGATCTTAGAATGATTATAGGGTGTCATGTCCATCTGACCTACTTTTCATGGTGCATAGGTAAAGGTTAAGTTTCCATGATTTGGTGTGTTTCTCAGATGATGAATGTAAAAGGTCAACTATATTAAGTTGTATTGTATGAGGGATAATGGGTTCATCTGACAAGGTTCTACTGACCATGGCCTTATTTTCATGTTTAAATGTTATGTTTCTGTTATACCTGTTGTAAGGAAGAAAGTTTCAACATATCCACTCTTGTCTTTTGTTTACCTTTGTTGTCATAACTTTTTTTCTGTAGTACTCTTCCTAAAAATTGAAATTCCTTTTATTTTAATTTTGTGGTTTAGTTTATATTCATGAACTGCAATTGCTTTTTTTTTAAATTTCAAATAATATTAGATTTTAAAGCTTCTAGAAAGAATGAAAACTTGACCAAAAAATTTGGAAGTGATATCAGAATTATCATGATTATGAATTAGGTACTGTAACATGTGTAAATTCAGTTTTTTATGCCCCACCTAGGGGCATTATGTTTTCGGTCTGTGCGTCCCTTCGTTCGTCCATCCGTCCGTCTGTCCCGCTTCAGGTTGAAGTTTTTGGTCAAGGTATTTTGATGAAGTTGAAGTCCAATCAAGTTGAAACTTAGTACACTTGTTCCCTATGATATGATCTTTCTAATTTTAATGCCAAATTTGAGTTTTGACCCCAATTTCACGGTCCATTGAACATAGAAAATGATAGTGCCCGCTTCAGGTTAAAGTTTTTGGTCAAGGTAGTTTTTGATGAAGTTGAAGTCCAATCAACTTGAAACTTAGTACACATGTTCCCTATGATATGATCTTTCTAATTTTAATGCCAAATTAGAGTTTTGACCCCAATTTCACGGTCCACTGAACATAGAAAATGATAGTGCGAGTTGGGCATCCATGTACTATGGACACATTCTTGTTATTATTATGAAAATTGCATTAGAATAGGTTTCACAGAAATAAAAACTTGCATTTTAAATATTGATAGCTATATAGCATTAATTTTATGCAGTATTTTCTAAAATCACAATAATTAATCTCATAATTTTGTGTCTGTTTTTAAACAATAACAGTAATAAATGCACACAAACATTCTTGAATATACAGTAACTAGGTGTTAATATTTTTCTATTAGACTTGTTCTGGAAAGAGTGAAGACATCAAAAGAGGGTGTTGAACTGATAGGAGAATTATTAAATAACTATGGACAAGGGGGATCCTGTTACGAGTCCACACAACTTTCAGCTTACCACAACAGTTTTCTGTTAGCAGATAGAACAGAAGCCTGGGTTTTAGAGACAGCTGGCAGATTCTGGGCAGCTGAACTAATTAAAGGTAATCTTATATTTACATGGGCAGATGTGCAGCTGAACTAATTAAAGGTAATCTTATATTTACATGGGCAGATGGGCAGCTGAACTAATTAAAGGTAATCTTATATATATATATCTGACAATGCCATCTCATTCAACATTTGTTGTCCCCCACGCAACACGTTCTTTTATTATATGGGGAATCCCATTAAAGGCTTAGAAAGAAAAAAAAGATTTAGAAATCGCTTAATTTAAGACATTTGTTAGTATACAGGAATCTAGTCTAAGACCAATTTCATAAAGGAAGCCATTTATTTATCTAATAAACTAATTGAAAGAGGTGTTTAAAAAAAAGAACAATTAAAACAAATGTATCATACTTTAGGAATATAAATTCCTCTCTGTACTTTTGGCGGGCGCATTGCATTTACGCCAATTTTTACAAAATCCAGTCTTTCAATATTTGTGCCACAATGTTATATTTCATTTGCGCCAAAAAATAAAAACTACATTTGCGCCATTTGACAGGTAACATATAACAGAAAGGTTTGAAATAATCACTGCTACATCGTGAATAAGATTTTTTTTTACCCCCTGTGTAACTAAGTAAATTCATACTCATTTCTAACATAAAACTAAGAGTCACTTAGGTTTAAAACTATATAGTGTTCACATGTTTGAGGTGTCAAGATGGACATTGTCAATTCTGAGACAAACAGGCCGTTAGTTTTCTCAATTGGACTGTTTAATATTTTTCGTGTCAGGGCTGTTTATAGCCGACTATACGGTACAGGTTTTTCTCGTTTTATGAAGGCCGTACAGTTGCCTATAATTGCTTTCATCCACTTCATTTGAACTTTGGTGGATAGTTGTCTCATTGGCAATCATACCATATCACCTTAGTGTTATATAGAGGAAATAAGTCTGTAATTTTTTATGACCACACATATAGGTTATCAAGTGTACATGAGTACATCTGGACTGTTGCTTACAAGTCTTGTGTCAGAACAAACTTTTGGTTTTACTCCAGTGTATAGTGCTTTCTTTTAGGTTTTATGATCTCGTTAATTTATAACAGAACTGTGTTTAAACATTATTATGAAGAGTCTCTTACTAAGAACATATCAGTGTATAGTGCTTTCATTATGGTTACGATGAATGATTTTGGAGGAATATGTTTTATTATGCAATCAAAAACTGTGTTTTAAAGTTATTATTAAAAGTCTCTTTTGGATAATTTTTTTTTAAACTGTTTACCTGTATTATTGGCTCAAATGAAATCTTTTATTTTGGCACGAATGAAATATAGTTTGTGGCGCAAATGAAATGCTAATTTGTGCAAAAGCAAAGCACTGCTATTAATTTCAGATCCTATAATTTATATGGTTGACCAGGTTTTGGTCTTAATAACAGGCAAGGTGGGATTTTGGAAAATAATTAACATGATTAATACTAATTTTTATGCACTGCTTACCAAAAAAAATGATTTTCTCCATTTATTGGAATCATTATAGACCTTTTATGCTGAAAAAATGTTCCGTTGAAGTGGATGAAAGCAATTATAGGCAACTGTACGGCCTTCATAAAACGAGAAAAACCTGTACCGTATAGTCGGCTATAAACAGCCCTGACACGAAAAATATTAAACAATCCAATTGAGAAGAAAGATTTAAACAAAACAGAGTATTGGTCAGAATTATGCATAAATTCTATGAAAATTAAACAAAACAGGCTTTCTGGACCTTTCAGTTACCAGAACTAGAGTTTATTTGATTCTTTGAGTATATGAATTTTTCTTCAAAGTTATTTTTGTAAAGCTATCAGATTCACACCATCATCCATTGTCGTAGTTGTTGTAGTCTAGTGAAATTTGGGCGAACTTTACTCCTGAGTATTTTTAGGCTTTTTTTCCCCCGGAAACAGTTATTTTGTTTATAGATTTATATGTACTTGACATTTTTCCTTCTAAAAAAGAATTAACAATGAAGCATGAAGTAAAAAAATAGTATTGCAGTGTTTAAAGACATCATGGAATCACTGGAATCCAAAAACACAAAAGACTCAGGAAAGGTGAGTTAAACAAAAAAGTTACTTTTATAAACATTGTAATTTGGTAATAAAACATATGGAAAGATTACTTTATCATTAACATATATTTATTAGTAGAATTTTATTAATTCATTTGTACATCATAAACCATTCAAATATCGACTAATTATCTTGAAAGTGATTTTCTACAGCTGTACTTTGAAGTAGATTTCTACTGCAACATTTTATCTTGGATAATTAAAGGATTTATATGTTGACATGACACTCTGGTTTTATGTACTTCCATGATGTCTTCAGCACTTTCATGTACTGTATTAATACAATCTATTAGTCTGTTTGTTATTTATTTACAGAAGGAGTAAGAAATATTTCTAATCAGCTGACTATTGGTACAAAAATAGACATGATGTCACCTGATCTTGTACAGGAAGCAACGGCACTGGGATTTTACAGCAAAGAAAGAGGTGACTTTCATTTCAGTAAAGTTTTCTCTGATGACTACTGTCTTGAAGGAAGATACAAGCATGGTAGACGAATGTTACAAGAATATTCCAAAGGAGGTAAATCAATTTTAAAATAAACCTTTTAAAGGAGGAAAATAAGTGTGAAAGTAACCTTTAGCCTTTTCCAAGGTCAAGGGGATGATTGACTGCTTATAAACCTATTTAAACCGCCACATTATATATGTGCCTGTCCAAAGTCAGGAGCCTGTAATTTAGCAGTAGTTGGTTGCTGTCAGATATTTTTTTTTTTTTATTTTGTGTCATAAATAAAGTCGTCGGTTTTTATATGATCGCAAAATTTTTGCAGTCGTATAACGTTATGACATCAGCGTCCTTGTCGTCCATAGACATTTGGTTTCAAGATAATAACTTGAGAATAAATGTATGGATCTCTATGAAATTGACCATAACGTTCCATACCACAAAAGGAAGGTTGGGATTGATTTTGGGGTTATTGTCTTAACTGTTTAGGAATGAGGGGCCAAAAACAAGGATTTTTCTTGTTTCAGGACAATAACTTGTGTGTAAGTGTATGGATCTCTATGAAATTGAACCACAAGGTTTCATACTTCAAAAGAATGGTTGGGATTGATTTTGGGGGTTATGACCCAAGCCATTTAGGATTAAGAGGCCAAAAAGGGGTAAAAAAAACTAGGATTTTCTGGTTTCCGGACAATAGCTTGAGTATAAGTCTATGGATCTCTATGAAATTGTACCACGAGGTTCCATACCAAAACAGGAAGGTTTGGATTGATTTTGGGGGTTATGGTCCTTACCATTTAGGAAAAAGGGGCCAAAACAATACTTTGTCTAAAACTTTGTATAAATTCCTTATTCCTTGACCAATAGGGTTTAATTCAAAGTCTTGAATTCTTGGGGTTCTTTAATATGCTGAATCTAACCATGTATTTAAATTCTTGATTTTTGGCCCCGTTTTTCAATTTGTACACAATGAGGTCCAAAGGTTCAAAATTAAACATAGTTTGATTTTTGAAAAAATTGAATTCAAGGGGTTCTTTGATATGCTGAATGTAACACGTATCAAGCTGCTATCACTGCACGGAGCATTTTATTTTATTTGAATTGTTTCACATTTTGTTATTTCAAGGCCTTTTAAAGCTGACTACGGTATTTTTATACGACCGAAAAACAATTTTTGCATCGTATAATGCTATCATGTCGTCGTGGTCTGCGTCGTTGTCCGAAGACGCATTTAGTTTCCAGACAATAACTTTAGTTTAAGTAAATGGATCTCTATAAATTTTTACCAGAAGGTTCAATACCACTAAAGGAAGGTTGGGATTGATTTTGGGGGTTATGGTTCCAAACGTTTAGCAATTAGGGATCAAAAAGGGTCTAAAAACAAGCATTTTTGTAGTTTGTGAACAATAACTTGTGTGTAAGTGTATGTATCTCTTTGAAATTGTACCACAAGGTTCCATATCACAAAGGGAATGCTGGGAATTAGTTTGGGGTTAATTGCCCCAAACGTTCAGGAATTAGGGGCAAAAAAGGGGCCAAAACAGGTATTTTACTAGTTTCAAGACAATAACATGTGTTAAAGTTTATGGAACTCTCTGAAATTGTACATTTTTCCAGGAAAGAAAATAATCTTCTAAATTTCAAAAAAAATTGGAGGGGGTTTCAAAACATTTTTTTTTGGGGGGGGGATTTTTTTTTGTTAGTGGGGTCAATCTTTTTTCCTCCAAGATTTTTCAAAATTCATTTTTTGGATCTCTATGAATTACCAGAAGGTTTAATACCTCTATAGGAAGGTTGGGATTGATTTTGGGGGTTATGGTTCCAAACGTTTAGCAATTAGGGGTAAAAAAGGGTCCAAAAACAAGCATTTTTGTAGTTTGTGGACAATAACTTGTGTGTAAGTGTATGGATCTCTCTGAAATTGTACCACAAGGTTCCATATCACAAAGGGAATGCTGGGAATTAGTTTGGGGTTAATTGCCCCAAACGTTCAGGAATTAGGGGCAAAAAAGGGGCCAACACAGGTATTTTACTAGTTTCAAGACAATAACGTGTTAAAGTTTATGGAAATCTCTGAAAATGTACATTTTTCCAGGAAAGAAAATAATCTTCAAAATTTCCAAAAAAATTGGAGGGGGTTTCAAAACATTTTTTTGGGGAGGGGGGTTTTTTTTTTTGTAAGGGGGGTCAATCTTTTTTTCATCCAAGATTTTTTAAAATTCATTTTTTTTCAAATCATATTTTAATTATCTCCCTGACAATGGTTTTGTTATAAAGAAATGATGTTTTATCTTGAGGTGATAAGCTGTCAATTTATTTTTATACGACCGCAAAGCAAAAAAATTTTTGGGATCATATAATGGTATGATGTCGTCTGCGTCTGCATCGTTGTCGTCTGCGTCGTCGACCGAAGACACATTTGGTTTCCGGACAATTATTTAAGTTTAAGTGAATGGATCCCTATGAAATTTTTAAAGAAGGTTCAATA